AGAGCTTTCCGGCTCTGTGCCTGAATCTATTACAGGTTGTGCATCGAAGTCTTCACTAAAGAACTTTTCCCAACAGCTCATGACATCCACGTCACTGAATTCTTCCTTAAGGCTATCCTCAAGTGCTGCAAGTGATTTTCGCAATCCTTTGACTACTGACAAAAAAGAGTTCAGGTGCAGCTTGCGAACAGTAGGTGATTTTTTGTTTGACGTCACAGTATGAATGAAATTGACAAATGTCCGGTTTAAGATGTTTGTCGAGTCAACTAAATGTTTGGCTTTTTTGGTGATCTCCTTGGAAATCTGCAGTGTGTTATAGTTGAACACCACATTCCCATCCATACCAGTGTGATCCCATGTATCCAAAGGAATGTTTTGTTGTAAGTGTGGCAACATGTGGTAAAGTTGAGATTTTTCTGGCTCTACCCTGTTCCTTTTGCGCTGCTGAAACCACATGTTCTCCATGTTCTCGAGGACGCTGTCACAGGCCATCACCAGATCGCAAAGGGGCTCACGGCTACAGACATAGCAGTACCACTTGCTTTCCAAGATGCCTGAAAGCTCCTTCCTTCCCAAATTTCTTAGAATACACTTCTTGCAGAAGGCATTACTACAGTAGTCACAACATATCAAGTTGCCTCCTTCAGCACACCATCTGCAAGAGGAAAAATACATAATTCATGCTTTTGATAAAAGCTTAGCAAAAGGTAAGTAAATGAACATGTTAATACTTCAGTAAAAATATTAAATATAACAAATTATACCTGCATTGCTCATCCATTCCATCTCCATCCTTACTGATGTCATCACTTGAGTAATACTTGTAGCAAGACTGACCAAAACAAAGAATATGTAACGAAAGAGGGTTACAGACAGCTTTGACAAATAGCATATTAAAGACAATAGTACTGCAAATTAGAAATCATAATTGATATGTATATTCTTGTAAGCAATAATCAAATATCACTGGTGGTTATTTTAATATAACATTCAAATACAGAAATGTTTTTGGCAAATTCAACTTAATAAAGTCATTGGCAAGTTTATAGACACCCACCAGATGTAAACAACACTCAGGCAGAAAGTAATGACGTCATAACATGACAAATTATGAGCTGCTACACAAAAAATGAAGAAGACTCCTTAAAAGTAATGACTTAAAGGACCCAAATAAATAAGGATTTGATTCTGTTGTATAAATAGGTGGACTCACCTTGCAAATAAGAACGTTCAGAACTGGATGTCGGTAGAAGGAATCTCTTTGGAAGTGGTTAACTTGTCTGCCACAAGCGGTGCAACTGACAATTTCCATGTGTTCGCCACCTATAAAAACAGAGCAACAAAATTGCTATTATAACAGCTTGAAGGGTTTTTAAAAGGGTGTAAGAATGAAAGTCAAATATCCAGTGATATCTCTCACAACAAGATAACCATCAAGCCACATTTAGACACACAGTGAAATTATTTTTTTAGTTCGACTTCGACAGTTTTTTGTCAAAAGACAATCATTGCATGAGTACCACAACAAGGGCAGCTTCTTTGTTTCTCGAAGAAATGGCTGCCCGGCTTATAATGAAGTGATGTGTTATGTTGTGACAACATCAACCAGTAGCGACTGACCTCCACGTCTCCTCGAAAACTCTCTCCGCAGTACGCCTGGTTTCCGGCTGCGAAACTCAGGACCCCTGAAGTCATCTTTCCCATTGTCAACAGGTTCAGGCCTCACCAGTACAGTGCCTGTAGATGTAAAACATTGCACCAAAAACATCAAACTGATATGATCGTGTAATTACAGGGTACAAAGCTGGGGACAGGCCTAAATACTGTTAACCCCCTACAGATAGTAAAATACAAGAAACCACATTAATAATGACAGATTGTGGTTCTCCTAAATATGTGTTTGTTGTCAGCAAGAATAAATACACATACAGTTACGAAAGAGCACAACAACAACAACAAAAACTGTTAAGTCCCAGCAAGCTATAGGAAAAAATAGTAAGACCAACCTTTTGGTAATCTAGTGATATCAGGGTGACCCTTTGCGTTGACTCGTAATTCCACGTCCTCACTTGCATTCGAGTCCCCTGATTCATCCAGTCCAGAGTGTCTTACGACAACAGATGGTTTTCTGTAATAACAGGGAAACAGTAAACCTTTTAATCCTGGGGGAAAACAATATTTCCCTGATGTAGACAAAATCATCAATATCTTTTAACCTGATTTATTAGACTATTGCTTCTTTATGTCTACATTTCAAGTTCAATATCCAGCATTTTTAGAATTGAGCTACATTCAACATATTGGCATTAAATATGGGCTGTTTGGTATTATATATTATATCTGTGCTGGCAGGGTATAAATCATATAATCATTTAAATATACTTTCTATGGTATAAAAATGCAAACTCACCTCCTTGAGTATTTGGTGTCTACTCCTGCCTGCAAAGCAAGACAGTTGATTAGTTTAGTTGTCCCTCAGAGATGTTCAATCAGTATATAGTACCTTGTTTAAGCAAACAATTTTACCTGTGTTGCAGCACGAGTTTTTGAGTTTCCCACAGAACATCTCTTGTTTGTCAGCCCTGTAAACCAATTATGTATTATGATTATAGAGCATATCAATATGATGAGTAACTGTCCTCATAAGATTACGTCAAAAGCTGCACCATTAGCATCCTCTGAGGTTGGTGGGCCATTGCTGTCCTCAACAGGAGAATTAGCCAAGTACTCGTGCAGTTTGTTGACCAATACATTCATCTTGCTGGTCTTGGTGCTACAATCAGAGGAACAAAGATCATGGTTATGGTAAACTTGATAGTTAGACGTGGCCAGCTGGTTAATCGGAGATCTTGTTTTAAAAGAGTACACCTCTACTATTACAACTGCAACATCTCAATTAAGGAAAAGGCACTAACTCTGGTCTTATGGCCCTTCATAAGAAACACTTACATGAGCGAATGGAAATGCAACACCACCACAAACTACAGCCTAAAAGTGCAGTCTAATAAAACATCCTTTAAACAAGACTGTTTTATACGACTGCATTTGTTTAGGGTAGGGGTAACGTTTACTACCAGAAAAGCAACTGCATGACGTTATCATGAGCTAGGTTAAAATGTTACAACGTTAGCAAAAGCTACACACATAGCTAACCATAACATCACTGTATCCTCTGAGACGTCAACAAAACCAAAATGTTGAATGCACATGGCATTAGATGCTTTGTAAGCCACTTCAAGCAATACGTTATTTAATTTAGCAGCGTACTTAACTAGCCTCATCGTTATCATTGCTGTCTATGTAGCCGTTAGCTCTTGCGTTAGCTGCTCCAGCTAGCTAGTTGCTAAGCTACCAGGCAATTATAACATGTTATGATGTTAGACAATCGCAGTTATTTTACCTCAGCATTGCAGCAGACATTTCTTGTCGTAGGGGAACAACCGAAGTCGTTCGAATCCTTAGAGTTTCATGATACCAATGTATTCTGGTAAAATATTGGCGCTCAATCTGCACTCAGCCCCATCGCTACCGAGAGCAAACAAGAGGCACATCACCAGCGGTGGCTGCGGTCGAACAGTAAAAAAAAAAGGAACATGGGCTGCGGTCGAATTTAAACATACAGGTGGCTTAGATCTTGTCCTAAGGAGAGTTTAGTTGTGAAGGAGAATTATTTAGGGGGAAAAAACCGTGGTTCTGACAGAATCCGACGGGACGCATTATTATGATGAGCCAGCGGATATTATTGATTTGTACTGCCGTGGTGAGACTACAATGTTCTGTAGGCTACATGGACTTCTAAAAGCTCATCTGGATCTTGATGTAGATATTTTGACCAATGCGTTCTTGTTGTTGTTTTTTTATTTGGGCTTTATAAACGTGGGCATTAGTGAAATATATATGACTTAATTCCAAGGGTTGGAATTTAAATAAAATAAGGAAATGTTTGCTCACACACCCACCCTCACAATTCTGTCTATTTGTGTTAATCAACATAAATCACAATCACTATTATTTTATGAAAGAATATTTGAATAAATAACACCATGTGTAATATGTATGCCTAACTTGTTAGGCCAACACTTCTACCATTCAGACACAACAACTCAGTAAACACCCTCAAAAGTTGACTTTATTTGATGGTTTTACAGTAGGATAGTGAGCTTAACGTTCATAGATCGCCTCTTGGTTTAACATCAAACATTAGTGTGCAAGAAACCTAAAAACTATTATGTTTCTCTCCCCCTTTCTAAATAAACACAATAGTATGAAGCTGCAGCCTCGGAGGAGGGTGCACTCTCAGGACCGCATGCACTCTCAGGACCGCATGCACTCTCAGGACCCTAGTTGTTTTGCAACATCGCCACCTAGCGGATTGGATGACCGCAAAAGTACAACCAGCGAGTATTGAGTCTCATACACTGCGAGTCTCTTTAGACATTGTAATGCTTGTTATTAACCATCTAAAAATGCATGAAAATATGTTTTTCTTACTGAAATTACATTATTATTATTAACAACAAGTTGTTAATATGTTTTTGATTTTTAATAACAAATGTATTTTGTATGTCAGATGTAAAAAGATAGTCTTTTATATTTGTCTTTATCAAATTTGACATACAACATAAATATATATATATATATATATATTGTAGTAATAATGATATAATCTATTTATAATTGTAAATGTATATTGTATGTAGACATACATTTAGATGTATATTTTGTTAAAAGAAAACTGTTAATTTAGTTTTTGGGAGAAGGGGTGGGGTTAAATAAGTGTAAACTCCTTTGAATCAATTTGATACTGCTTATGTTTCTACAGTATCATAATTCTCTTGTTTCATTTCATTATTATATATATATATTTTTTATTGTATTACACGTTCGAAATAAATCAAATCAAATGTGTCTTTGAAGAGGTGCTAGATTACTCAAAAACAACTGTTAGTGTGTTTATGCACCAGGCTGCAAAAGATAAACATGCAATTTGACGAGAGGAATTTCAGTGCAGAATACATTTTTATTTATTGGGCACTGTGGATTCTTCACTGGGGTGAGGCGGGGTCTGCTGTTCCCTCAACCACCAGACAACAGCTCCAGCTGCATTACCCCGGGAAGCCCTCTTCTGAGTAAAAACCCTGCAACACTCCTCGCCGTCCACTTCCCCGGTAGCCTGTGCCAACGTCCTTATAAAGGTTGTCGCAGTAAAAGCACCTGGAAATTTGGTATTCCTTCCGAAATTCCCTTTTGTGTCCCTCTGAGAAGACATTCCAGTTGACGACACCTGAAGTAGAATGTCATAAGAAAATTACAATTCAGACAGAAAAACAACAAAACCTTCCTTAATTTAGCTGACCTTACTCTTAGTCAATCAACTTCATAATACTAGGATAGGAGAAGGCAGAAGTAAAGACACTTTATAGACTTTGCAACATGTAGTGCATCGTTGTAAATCGGGCAAGGATCTCCCCTCTTGGATTGAAATATGCATCTTGAAAAAGAGAGAGCCTAATTGGTCAAACTGAACATTTTGAAATACTTTCACAGACAGACATAAATTAGGCCTAATTGTTAGATTCTGACACAACAGATTCTAACCTACAGAATAGGCCGACATAATAACTGACTAAAACACCTCATGCAATATTACAAAACATGTCAAAATGATGAGACTGTCTGATAAACAGTAAACAGGCAGTCAGCACAGTTAAGATTATTTACAATGAATTCAAATAGTAATACAATGACTATTAAAGAAGCATTTACACTGAATACAGAACTTATATTAGGCTACTGCTGATTTAATGTAGCGGACAGACAGATCATATTGACATGCTTTTGTCATCCTTTGAAGTTTAATTAATTAGCTGACTATAATTAATGATCAGGGTTGGGAAGTTTACTTTTTTTAAATGTAGGTTACAGATGACTAATTACCCTGTTAAAAATGTAATACGTAATGTAACTGACTATGTAACTATTTGTATTGATAATCTAATGCTAATTATGGTTCTTTTATGTTTTTTGTGAGTCACTTTGGATAAAAGCCTCTGCTAAATAACATAACCATAACATACGCTTTCATTAAACAAATAAACAAAAAGGCTAACAGTTGGTTTTGCAGCGAGTCATCATAGGCTAACAGATGACATTTAGCACGTGTTACTGTAATTAGTGATTAAATCAACAATTAATGTAGGACACCTAGTTGGGCTTGCCAAAATCACGCTACAGTTTCATTAAACAAATAATCAAATATGCTAATGAAGCTAATGCTATTAGCATTAGCTTTTGCCGAAAGCTATAGCTAACAAATAATTGTTTTTAGTGCCTTTAATACTGTTAGAAGCTATCATAAGCTAACAGATGTTTGTTTGTATTGCCTTAAGACTATCATAGTTAATGTTAGCTAATCACACTTCATTTCAAGACACCGGAATTGTTATTAATGTTAAACAAATAAAACTTTAAAAGCACTTCACACTACTCACACTCTCTGCGTTGTCGTTCATATTCATGTCTCCTGCTCACTAGGTGGCGATGTTGCAAAACAACTAGGGTCCTGAGAGTGCATGCGGTCCTGAGAGTGCATGCGGTCCTGAGAGTGCACCCTCCTCCGAGGCTGCAGCTTCATACTACTCAATAAACAACACTCTGTACATTATATCACTTTAATCACCAATCTGTGCAATTTAGTGACATCTAGCGGAGTGGTTGCATATTACAACGGACTGAATTAATTTTCCATTTCTGCTAATGAATCCCCCTAACAAAGGAATTCTGAAATCAACAAACTAGACTTTAAATTCAAGCTTAAAACACTTTTGCTCTAGAAGAATTTTCTTGCATAGCCTTCTTGCTCTCAGTTTACAGTATTCATCATCCCACTCACTCAGTGTCTCATATTCCATTATTCTATTGACTGCTGCCAATAAGACATTTTCTAAACCTCTACACCATTGGCTTTTAATTGGCTTTTTTTTTTTTTAACTTTTGGGTCAAATGACTTTCTTGCAGCCCTCTATTCCAGCACTATTATATAAGTATAACCCTACCGTATTATACATTTGGTTTATGATTCACAAAAACTGCTGTTGTTCCTATTGCCTAAGAGGCAGTCTCCTTTTCCCCTTCCACACTCTATATTAAAAAGTATATACTTCCACACAGGACAGGCAGAAGCCCAAACATATACAAATACATACATGAATGACCGCTCAAATAAAAATGTTTTGTATTTTGATGATCTTTATTCTCATTCCTTTAATTTTGACTTAAACTCATGCAAGCCATTAGCTACTGATACAGACAGATCCCCATCTGTTGTTATTTCCTTTTTAAATGTTACAATGAACACCAAAGCTTCAAATATGATTTAAAGTGTACGGACATCAGTGGATGGGAAGCGGGTCTATGGTTCTATGGTCATTGTTTTGGTTTCCCACTGTGCCTCCAGTTTCAGAGTAATACTCTATGTATTGATCTTAAATGATAAACACTAACAGCGTGGGTGTTTGTGTTTCACTGATTACAAGAAGAGATCCGAGAGAGGAGAGAGAGAGAGAGAGAGAGAGAGAGGAGAGAGAGACGAGTAGAGAGAGACGAGAGAGAGGATGAGATGAGGAGGAGAGAGAAGAGAGAGTAGAGAGACGATAGGAGGAGATGAGGAGGGAGATGTTGAGAGAGAGGGAGGAGATGAGAGAGAGAGAGAGAGATTGTATAACGTTTTTTGTAATATAATTCTTATAGTATATATTGTTAGCAATAATTAAATAGCGGTGGTTATTTAAAAAAATAATTTATAATATATAGATATTTGTGTTGACCCTCAAATTTGACTTTGCATATCATACACAGAGATAAAAACAAAACGTTAATTTTGGCAATATAATCATTGTTAAAAATAATTAATCCACAATCATGATCATGAAAATGTATGCTAGTTTTTTGCCCTGTGGGTGTTATTTTAAGATGTATTATTTATCCATACACATGATATAAATAATACCTTTAAGGAATAGCATACGGTAATTTGTCCAAGTTTGAAACTCTGGGTGGATGTTCCGATTTCCACTCCAAAATGTGTTTATTTGTCTTGCAAACAACACATTTATGTTTTCTATGTGTATTAATTTATTGTTTGGCACGGATGATACTCCGCAGACCGGACATCACCGTCTGGCGGTGACGTCACGGTCGGGGCGGGTCCAACATTCCTGCCGCTGTCTACTTTTGTCTCTACGTGGAGGAGAGGCAGGATTGGACGCTGTCTGGAGTTTCAGGCGCATCGACCGTGAGTACCAATTTCCTTGCAACTCATACACGAACAACTACTTACATCTAGACTTTTTTCTCAGTAGCTTTCACTGAAATAAAACCCTTGTCTTAATGTTTCCTCTATGTGATACTCGTTATCCTCAGTGTAGAGCAGAGGATGAATTTGCTAGAGTAAACGGGGATAGTTTCCTGCCCATAAAACTTGCATGCCTGTCGCTAGCCTGTTAGCTTTAGCTACACCTTCACTGTAGCCTATTCATCCTCACGGCGCTGGATAGCTCCTAGAAATACTGAAAGTAGCTTTTGACTGCTTTGATGTGTGAACAGATAACTTTTAGTAGCCTAGAAATAAACTCAAAGACACCCATATTTTACGAGTTAAGTGTTCTAGAAACAACGCGTTTTCTTGGAGGTTTTGAAAATATCCCTCACGCTGCACTCATTTGAAAACATTCCCGGTAGGACAAGCGGACGCATAAATGACCAATACATACACACTTACACATAGTCTTTATACAAAGTACCCTGGTGTTGGAGGTCATTTACAGCGCTAGATTTTTGTTAACTGACTGATCTTCTCCTGACAGATTATGTTTTGACACTTTGAAATAGAAATAATGTTTTGATGCGAGCAGAATTCTACAAAATATTTTATTTCAGCACGAAGTGGATCTGCAGTCCCTCTCTGTGCCACAGTTGTTTTTAAATGATATGATTCATTTGCCAAGTGTTTTCTGACTCATTGTACATTGTTCAGGGTATGTTGTGAGAGGGCGGTGGTGATTTTTACACTGAATAAGACATTTTGGTCAGTTACCTATACCGTTTTTTTTAATCCTCGTGTAAAGCAGGGGTGTATGTAAACTTGTGGCTCTTGAGTGATTTGCCAGATTTTTCCTGTCGATCTGGGGCTGCAGCACATGTACATCTGGGATTCCAATTGTGGATCAGCCTTAAACAACAGACTGTCTGAAAGTTTTACAAAGACCCACATTGAACTTGATACATATTTTGACTTGGAACAAGAAGTGTGTTGTGAATGCAGTCATATGCTTTGCATCACTGCTGTCGATTCTGGACACAGTTCAGTATTCTAGTGGTTTATCCACGGTTAAAGTCTGTTCTTGCAGCAACATTCTTTGATAAAGGTTTTGTAAAAACAATTATTGGCGAAGACAAAATGATTGATAAAGGTTCAGTGTCAGCAGAAGAATAGTGGTTGCATATTCTTTTGTGGAAAAGATCTGTAAATCATTTGAACTGTGCCTGTCTATAACCTGATGCGTATGTATGGTATCCTTGGTATGCTTTACATTAGCTAAAGTAAAATGACAGTTATTCATGCTGACGAACCATGCGAGAGCTCATACTGCAGGTTTTTATATATACAGACATTACGTGTTGATTTGATCTCTGTAAAGACAAACCAGACAGTCAAGAAGGAGGGGGTGTGCTTCATGTTGATTCCACCCTTACACACACCTGTCTGAATGAACAGGTTGCCCCACTTTCTGCACTGTAAGGATTTTAACAGGTGCCTTTACTTGTTTTTTTCAACTCAGGGAAAGTGATCAAGGTACTTAGTGGCTGCAGTTGTTTTTACTTTTCTAGTTTTGTCATGGAAAAACAATTAGCTGCATCTCTTTTTACAACTAATTCCAATTTGAAACCACAACTTTGTCACTAGAATATGTTTAGAAGTTTCAACCTCAATCTGCATAAAAAAACACTTAGTGATAATTTAATCCTATAAATAATGGGGATCTATACAAAGATGAATCTCTTAAAAAAAAAAAAAAAAAAAAAACAGAACCTTCTTTTAGGGAAGCACTGCAAAAAGGAGTGAGTGGGAAGTACTGTAGAATACATAAACTGTACTTCTACTACTACAACAGTGTGTCACTCTATGGCGCACGTTCCTTGAGTGAGTAATGGATGGTATTTAACTCTAACTGTGCCCTGTACTAGCTGATCAACTATATTTAAAGGATAACGCTTTACAGTGCTTTTGTTGAGTAATGGCAAACCCTTGTGGGTGTGGCTGTTTACGTGTAGCAGTAACACCCCAACCCATCTGATTCAGCAGCACCTCTGTAACCTGTCTAATGACATTCCTAAGTGATGGTTAGTGGAGATTCCTGTCTTTACACCTTTGCTGGCACAGGTCTCTTTCACCTGATGCATCCTTTACTACACCTACAGTCCTTTGATTTGGGGAAATTAATCGTCTAAAGAAAGCAAGTTGTAAACATTAGCTGCTCACGTTTAGGGATATTGTAAAGGGAACTATTCATCTGAATATTTCCACCACATTTCATCATATCCTAGTTTATTTATGATACCTCTCTGCCCAGGATGATGTGTTTACAGCTGCGCGTGATGTCAGAGCCATGTAAACTTTGCATACTGTATTTGTTGTCGTCACCTCCTCCTCACCTGTCTGCAGGGCTTATCTAATCCACACAGCCCGAGAAGGAAATGAAGGGCTGGTGTCACAGACGGTTTGGAGTTTATGAGTCAGTTAGTTTGACTCACATCTGCGGCCAATTGCGAGTAAAAATGTTCTTGCAGACTGTGTTGGGTGTGTTGCATATGAGCTTGACCACACTTGGGAAATGTGCCCAATCTATTTGCGTGTGCCTCACATTTCCCATGTTACTGTGTGGATGAAACACTGCAGGACGGGGTGTGTCGGCTTCACACATTTAACTCCGACATCTGGGAACAACCCTCCGCTTTAAACTGACTGTAAGATCCATCAAAGGCGACCGTAAACAGCGTCAATGTGCTGTGTTTGGCTCCACAAATAAAACTGGTGCTTGTCAATAAATACTAGCGTGTGTGTGTGACATCTAGTTGTTAAACGATAGCAAGATATTTGGAAGAGCTTTATTTAGCTACAGCTTGAAATCACATGACCTGGATGACTGTAAACTAGTTCTGTAATTGACGGCATTATCGCTTAATCTGCTGGTTGTTTTTTTTATTAAACATTTGCTCTATAAAACATAAAACAGTTGTGAAAACTGTCAATCATAGTTCCCCAAAGTCCCAGTTTCTAGGACAAAAACCCAAACATATTCAGTTTCACATGATATAACACATTTAAAAAAAAAAAAGGAAATGTCAAAAGGGAACTCAACTGTGAACCTACTCATCCAAATGTGTAGGTTAGTTGCATTGTTTGTTCCAGTGGAGATATTTTGGGGGTAATTTGAACCCTCATAATCTTGCAATCCTTTATTATTCAAAAGTATACCGG